ACGTCGCGGAGTCGGACTCGGAAGACATCGCGGAAGAGATGAGGGCGGCGGATCAGGATGATGATGTTCCGGATGATGATAATCCTAGGTGTCCTACTATCACTTTCACCGCGATGGAGAAACAACGCTATCGACGCAAATGGCGCTCGGCTCTGATTGTCAAGGTACTTGGCCGAACGTTTCCCTTCCCGGTACTAGCGAAGCGTTTAGAGACAATGTGGGGTAAGCATGGAGGTTTACAGATATCGAGCTTGTCACATGGGTTTTACGTGGTAAGATTTGCTAGCCAGTCAGATTATGAACAAGCTGCCGTGGGTGGACCATGGATGGTCGGTGGCCATTACCTGACAGTACGCCATTGGAGGAAAGGATTCAATCCCAAGCTAGCGGAGGTGGCATCAACCCTTGCATGGGTTCGGCTGCCCGAGTTACCACTCGATTTCTTCGACAAAGAGGCAGTGGAACGCATAGCACAGAGGATTGGAAAACCTGTTCGAGTGGACCGTGCAACGTTGACGTGCGAACGTACGCAATATGCTCGGGTTTGCGTGGAGGTCGATCTCACTAAGCCCTTGTTATCGCAATACCGGATTGAGGGGAATACGTACTACATAGTGTACGAGGGTCTCTACAACATATGCACGGAATGTGGCCAGTATGGCCATGCCAAAACCACGTGTCCAACGGTCTTTCGACAGCAGGATACACAAGCTCCGAACCCGACTCCACCTGCTGCACAAGAGGAACCAGTTGTAAAGGAGCCGACAGCTGATGCGATTTATGGGGACTGGATGGTGGCTAAGCCACGCAGAAAAAAGAAGCAGGAGGCGGCAGCGAAACCGACAGCTCATGGGGGTATCAAAGAGAGCTTGGGATCTCGTTTCCAAGTCCTAGTAGAGGAAACTGGTGAGGAGGCCATGGACACCCAGGTGGAATCTTCGCCGAGCACCAGCAAGGAGACTCCGCATGAGAAGCCCGAAACTACATCTGGCGGTCCATCAGCAAGGGACCAGAGTCCACCTGATACTTGCAGGTCCACGGTGCCGGAGAAAGATGTTGAGATGGCCGTAGCTACCCCTTTGTCACATTTTTTGGGAGCAAGACCCAAATTGGTGGAAGTCCCGAGTGCCACGATCACTCAACCGGGTATACTCATGCATAGAGACAAAGCCCCACCTAACCAGCAGGCAACCCTCCCTCCGGAAAAGAATTTCAGTGGTAAGGGAGCCTCACAAACTGGAAAGAGGATAGTCCCTAGCACGGGGGGATCTAAACAACCATCACAACCGCCGGGGGCATCCTTTGCGGCGGCAACAGGTGTCATCAACAGCCTTAATGGCCAGCAGTTATCTATTCCGGAGAAGTTGTCTTCTCCAGACTTGTCTCAAGCCTGATTACCGGTTTACCCGGTAGAGTAGGGAAGTCTCTGTCCCACCTTTTAAGTATCTTTGATGATTGATATACTTGCGTGGAACTGCCAGGGGGCAGGAAATGATCAATTTGTGCCTTTTTTACTTTCGTATTGTCATTCCAGACAACCTGATATTGTCTTTGTGTTAGAACCCCGTATTAGTGGGGATAGAGCTCGGGGTGTCATTGCACGCACGGGCTTTGACGGTGTGCTACTGATTGATTCTGTGGGTTTCGCAGGTGGGATTTGGGTCCTCTGGAAAAAGCATGAAGTCCGGGTTACACCTATCCGCAAGTGGGAGCAGATGATTCACTTCAAATGCGCCCGCCAAAGCTCGCCTGACTCGGAAGTTCTCATTTCTGCAGTATATGGTAGCCCGAATGCATCCTTACGGGGAGAACTTTGGGAGGAGATTAAACACATTGCAGACGACTGTTCTATTCCTTGGCTCCTAGCCGGTGACTTCAACTCCATCCTGAGCCCGGCGGATCGTATGGGAGGAGCTGTTTTCCAGGAGTCAAGGGTGAGACCGTTCCGTCGGTGCATTGATGAGTCAGGTCTCCATACGGTGGATTTCAGTGGGCCCCGGTATACCTGGCGACGAGGGAATCTGTACCAGCGGCTTGACAGGGCCCTTTGCAACAAAGCTTGGCTGCTCAAATTCCCTGGGACGATTACCCGACACCTGGAGAGAATTGGTTCAGATCATAGACCGATCTTGGTCCAAGGAAGACCTGCCACAAGTCGACGGGGAGAGAGGCCTTTCCGCTTCCTTGCTGCATGGCTGGGCCACGACGATTTCCCTGGGGTAGTAGAGGAGGCCTGGAGCAAAGCTCAGGCCCTGCCGGCGCAACTCCACCAACTGGAAGCGGATTTGAAGAAATGGAACATTGAGGTGTTCGGGCACATTATTAAGAGGAAGAAGGAGCTGATTCGTAGGCTGCGGAGGATTGAGAAGGAAAATGAACACAGGGCCACAGCCGCCTCGCTTGAAGAGGAACGACTAGTGAGAGAAGATTTGGAGTCCACACTATGGCAAGAAAACCTCTTATGGTTACAACGATCGCGGGCGACTTGGATAGTTGAGGGAGACAGGAATACACGGTTCTACCACCTGTCTACCCTTAAACGCCGGCGTTTCAACAGGATCAAAAGCCTGAAAGACGAGTTGGGGAACTGGATTGAAGACGAAACCCAGTTGAAGGAGCTAGCTCGCGCTTTCTATGTTGACTTGTTTACTGCGGAGCCGGGAGCAGCCCCGCACATACCTGGTTCGTTCGAGGAAATTGATGAAGAGGAGTTCGGATTTCTCTGTCGACCCATACTGCAGGAAGAAGTTTGGTGGGCGATCAAGGGAATGGGGAGCCTCAAAGCCCCAGGCACGGACGGCTTTCATCCCGTCTTCTTTCAGAAGAGCTGGAACATCATTGGCCGATCCTTCTCGGCATTTGTTGCCAGCTGCCTGACGTCTCCCAGCAACATTGCAGCAGTAAACGAGACGATGCTGGTGCTGATCCCCAAGAAGGAAAGCCCGGAGTTGATATCCCAATTCCGTCCGATCGGGCTTTGTAACGTGTCCTATAAGGCATTTACTAAATGCATAGCGAACCGTCTCAAGCCCTTGATGAGGAGGCTGGTCCACCCAACACAGACTAGCTTCGTTCCGGGTCGTCACATCACAGACAACATAATTATTCTCCAGGAAGTAGTTCACTCCATGGGCCTGAAAACGGGGAAGAAAGGTCAGTTGGTGGTTAAGATTGATTTGGCCAAGGCTTACGACAGACTCAGTTGGGCCTTCATTCGGGACACGTTAACGGCAGCCCATCTACCGGGAGCTTTGATCGAGGCGATCATGCACTGTGTTAGCTCCCCCACCATGCAGGTACTCTGGAACGGTGAGAAGACGGAGCCATTTAAACCATCTCGCGGACTAAGGCAGGGGTGCCCGCTCTCTCCCTATCTCTTTACCCTGTGCATGGAGAGATTGAGTCACATTATCGGAGAAGCAGTTGACACGGGAAGATGGAAGCCGATCCGCACTTCACCAGGTGGCCCACCTCTCTCCCATCTTTTTTTCGCTGACGATCTAATCCTTTTTGCAGAGGCTTCCGCTCGACAGGGACAGATCATCCTCGAATGCCTGGATAGTTTTTGTTTGGCTTCAGGTCAACGGGTTAGTAAAGAGAAATCAGTTCTCTACTTTTCTAGCAACACCCCGAGACCAGTGAGCGAGGAGATAATACGCCAGATGGGTATCCCGGCTACCCAGGATCTGGGGCGGTACCTCGGAGTTCCGGTTCTCCATGGACGAGTGACGAAAGAGACTTACAGGTATATCATTGATCGGCTTGATAATAAACTATCAGGCTGGAAAGCCGAGTCTCTCAGTTTTGCAGGAAGAGTAACCCTTGCAACATCAGTCTTGACCTCACTCCCAACGTATGCAATGCAAACAACGTTGCTCCCGATGGCCATCTGCGATCTAATTGACCAGCGAATCCGGAGATTCATATGGGGCTCCACCGCGTCTTCGAGGAAGATGCACCTTGTCCACTGGGATCGTGTTTGCCGACCGAAATCAGAGGGAGGACTGGGGTTGCGAAAGGCACATGAGCTCAATCTGGCCTTCCTTGCAAAGCTGGCCTGGTCCTTTCTCAAATCACCGGAGGAACTGTGGGTTAGGGTACTGCAGGCAAAGTACTTCAGAAGTAATCAAGGCAGGATGGAGGCAAAAAAATCAAAGCGCTGGTCGACGGCATGGAGGGGTTTGATGAAAGCCTGGCCGATCACGGTGGCGGGCACCCAAATGAGCATTAGGAGTGGCCGAGACACACGGTTCTGGCTAGATCGGTGGTTAGACTCCGGCGACATCCTGCTTGACTTGTTGAAGGAGGACGGACAGGCCCCTGATGTGAATGCCCCCGTGGTAGACTTCACCACAGAGACAGGTGAGTGGAATCTTCCCCTCCTTCGTTCCTTCTTAACCGAGGAAGCAGTTTTGCAGGTCATGGGGATACAGCCTCCGCGCGATAATCCAGGGGAAGACATCCCAACTTGGGGACCGGAGGCGGACGGCAGGTTCCGTGTGCGCTCGGCCTATGAGCTGGCCTGCTCATCCGAGGCGAACATGGACGGGCGATGCTGGCGGGCGATCTGGAAATGGAGGGGTCCAGCAAGGGTCCCGCATTTCCTTTGGCTGGCGGCGCGGGAAAGGCTTCTCACAAATACCGAACGAACCCGGCGACACCTGACGACGAGCACGCAGTGCAGCCTATGCAGGAACCATCCTGAGACAGTCCTGCATGTGTTGCGGGACTGTCCTTTTGCCCGGTTAACTTGGATGCAGATCATCCCGCTTTCTGAACACCAAAGCTTTTTTGACAGTCATTTACAGGATTGGATCAGATCGAACCTCTGCCGCGAGGACACCAGCCTAGCCTTCGGCCTGACCTGTTGGTCCCTATGGCGGACCAGAAACGACCGCATCTTTGCGAATAAGGTCGTTACAGCTGAAGCCTTCCTCCAGCGCATCCTGGCATGGATTAATGTAGTGCAGAATGCCATGGATAAAGACAGGCTCGTCCATATGCCTCGTCTGCCCACCAGAACGGAGGTTGAGATCTCATGGAAGCCGCCACCTCCCGAGTGGGTTACCCTCAATACAGACGGCTCCGTTGTCCAGGAATCAGGCCGTGCAGCAGCAGGCGGCTTGATTAGAGATCACTTAGGATGCTGCCTTGCAGCATTCGCTTTGAACTTGGGTGTATGCTCCATCACCCGAGCTGAATTGAGGGGCGCGGTGGAAGGTCTTCAGCTGGCTTGGAATTTGGGGTACAGGCGTATTAGACTCGAGGTTGACTCTCAGTGTGCTATCCAGCTCCTGCGGAGCCAGGATAATCCGGATCACCAGCATGCAGCCATCATACACAGGTTCCAGGAGATGCTGCAGCGAGATTGGGAAGTCACCCTTAACCATGTATACCGTGAAGGCAACAAAGGAGCGGATTTTCTGGCCAACCATGGCCACAGTTTACCTCTTGGTTTTCATAGAGTGTCTTGTTCGTTTCCTCCATTTCATCATGTTCTTATGTATGACTGTCAAGGTCTCTCAGAGACTCGTTTGGTTATGAATGAAAGCTAGATGCTCTGCATCCATTTATCAAAAAAAAAAAAAGCTGGGGAAAAAAAATAGTCTCGGGGGCGGAATTTTGAGGGAGAAGAGGAATTCTTTGGGCGGCGGAATTATGGAAGAAAGCAGCACAGCGCAGAGATTGGAGCGAGCAGTGCGATTGGGCAATTGACGATCGACTTCTCCAAGGCTTGAGCTGAGTTCAACGAGAGCGATTATTTGGTTGGATTTTCTGAACCAAATCAGTTGTTTATTGTTGATTAGGAACATGATGAACAAAACCCTATTGTTTTATCTCAATTTCATCATGAACTAAACCCCGATTTCTGGGGGAAACACCATAGGATGTAGCTATTTATTGATTGGATGGATTGATTCATATATCTTTTCTTCCAATCTCTATCGCATGGAATTGCTTAATGCTTTGTGGTGACTGGCCACCAATACATTGATTTGTAGTTAATTAGGTTATTAGCGACAGTGAAACCCTAATAACTGAACCTATTTCATGTGACATAGTAACTTATCGAAGTGACAGTGGATTAAATAAGGTACTATGCGGTCTTAAATAGGATATCGGTCTTCAGGCTAAATAATTAACTCATTGAGCTACGACAGTAGGATTTGATTTAATTGTTTAGTACGTAGTAATTCCCGACAGGGATAACTAGCACAACAGAGATATCCTGGCTGTAGAGAGTTGGATTAAATTGATTGGAATAGGTGAATTAATCTGGATAGGATAGGTAGTGAATCCCGGTGTTTCTCCCAGAGCTTTCTCCCATTGAATTTTTCCCGACTAGTTTACTTTGCTTAATTAGTTTAGTTATTTTGCTATTAGTTAATAATCTCATCAACCAAACCATTTTCACCTATAGTTTGCTCCACAGAATTGATAAATCATAAGGTTGTACCAGTCACTGAGAGACGATACCCGGACTTTCCGGTTTTACTACAAGATAGGAATTGGAGCATTACGCTTTGGCCCTATCAAGTTTTTGGCGCCGTTGCCGGGGACTGCCATACCTTATTTTTGTTGATTTTAGTGAGTGAACTATTTTGATTTGTGTGTTAGTGTGCAGGTGAATTTTCAGGTTTATCCTCCACGTGCATGCCAAGGAGGACGACTGGCAATTTACTGCCACTAGATCCCGAGATCGAGAGGACCTGCCGACAGAACAAGAAGCAGGTCAAGTTAGGGAAGCAGCCTACCACATCCACAACTCCTAGGCCTTCCCTAACCCAGAATCGTCAACCGAGAAGGCAGGTTTCACCACCTGTCATCCCGACACCACCGACATCGCCATCGCGCATCATCGAGTCTGTCATCATGGCAGAACAGGATCGTTCGATCAAGGCTCGCTTGAATTGAAGGACTGGAGCCCGAGCTTCATGTGTTGTCATTCCGGCTGGGGATGCAAACATGGAGATTACCCCAGCATTTATCAACATGATCACCAATGGGTATACCTTCTCCGGGGCTACCACTGAGGATCCTCATGAACATCTTCGCCGGTTCGCAAGCATTTGTGATACGATGAAGAGCCCGACTGTGTCTGATGATGCAATCCGTCTTCGGATGTTCTCCTTTTCTCTGCTAGGGAATGCATCACACTGGTTCCAAAACTTAACACCCCGTTCCATCACGACATGGGGTCAGCTTGAGAAGACCTTTTTGGATAAGTACTTTCCTCCTGCCAAGGCAATGAAGAGGCAAGAGGAAATTGTTACTTTTAAACAAGCTGAAGACGAGAGTCTGACCGAGGCATGGGAGCGCTATAAGGGGCTTTTAATGAGATGCCCGAGCCACGGTCTTGAAGATTGGAACGTGATATCTATTTTCTTCAACGGAATCAGAAGGCAATTTCGAGATGCTCTGAATAATGCTTCCCGAAATGGTTTCACAAGGATGGAAGCACCAGAAGCATATGAACTGGTGGAGAAGATATGTTCTGAAGATACAGAATGGGGTAGTCAGACCGGCATTCGAAGGAGAGGAGGCTTGCATTAGATAGACAGAGTTGCAAGTTTAGAAGCAAAGATTGATGCTAAGCTGGATTCCAAGTTCGATGCACTCGAACGAAGGTTGGCTAAGATGGCTCTTGGTAGACAAGAGGAGGTTGCTTATTGCGAATTATGTGAAGGTGCTCATCATAGGGATCTATGTCCACTGGTAGCTGATCAGTTGGAAGATGTGCACTACATCAACAATCAGCGAAATCAAGGCCAGGGTGGTATGTACTCAAATACCTACAACCCGCAATGGAGGAGGCATCCTAACTTTTCCTGGGCGAACAACAACCCAACTGGTGCTCGCAACATTCCACCTCCAGGTCTGCAGAAACAACAACCTCTACCTCAACCAGAGAAGAAACCACAACTTGAAGAATTGCTTCTGGCTCACATGCAGATAATCGACAATAATCTGAAGGGCCTGGATCAATTTGTCACTCAACAGCTAGCCATCAACAATAATTTACAATCGTCTATGCTAGCTATGGAGAGGCAGATGGGACAGATGGCTCAAACTTTGGCGGATATGCAGGGCAGGATTCCTGGGACATTACCGGCTAATACCGAGAGGAATCCAAAAGATGATAAAGTTGTGGCGGTGACATTGAGGAGTGGAAAGGCCTTGGAAGACCCTAGCAGCTCGAAAAAGGCACCAGAGGCAGAAGAAGAAGCACCGGGAGAAGGGTCTGGTGCAGAAAATGAGGAATCAGCCTTACACAGGCAAATTGACAGCACTTTGCCTGTGCAAAAGCATGCTGCCCGTGCAAAACCAGCAGGGGAAAATGAGAAGGGGGAGGAGCTAAAACCTTATGACCCACCCGCACCATTCCCTCAGAGGTTGATGAAGCCCTTGGATGACCCGAACTTCAAAAAATTTGTGAATCTCTTCAAGCAATTGCACATCAACATTCCGCTAGCTGAGGCTCTTGAGCAAATGCCCACGTATGCCAAATTTCTTAAGGGATTGTTGACAAAGAAGAGAAAATGGACTGATTTGGAGAAAGTAACACTCACACCAGAGTGTAGTGCTGTGATCCAAAATAAATTGCCAGAGAAGAGGGAAGATCCAGGGAGCTTCACCATCCCATGTATTGTTGGTGAGACAGAGTTTACAAAGTCGCTTTGTGATCTTGGAGCCGGCATAAACCTCATGCCATATTCTGTTTATAAGAAGCTGGGACTCCAAGATGTGATCAAGCCGACTCGAATCACTCTGCAACTGGCTGATCGATCAGTAAAGGTCCCCAAAGGCGTGGTGGAGAACGTTCTAGTCAAGGTGGGAAAATTCATCTTCCCCGCCGACTTCATCATTCTGGAGATGGATGAGGACATGGAAGTACCTCTCATTCTTGGGAGACCCTTCCTAGCTACGGGGGGTGCTCTCATAGATGTCCAAAAGGGCAAGCTGACATTCAGAGTCTGTGGGGAAGAGGTAAAATTCAACGTATACCATGCAAGTAAGTACCCTAATGACTCTAGTGATGTGTTTGCGGTGGATGTCATAGAATCATGCACTGATGCTATTTTGAACAATGATTATGATGCGGATTCTGAGTTTGATGATTCTGATAATGAAATTGATGAGCTAACCATGTCAAAGAGGGCACAAATACTCGAAGTATTGCCTATGCAGGTGGAAGGTGATGAAAAGGCTGGGTTGCCTAAGACTATGGTTCCATCTCGGATCCAGCCTTCGGAATTGAAACTAAAACCATTGCCTAGTCACCTTAAGTATGCATATCTGGGGGAAAACTCCACTTTACCTGTGATTGTTTCTGCTACACTGACTGATTCGCAGGAACAGGAGCTCTTGAAGGTCTTACGCCAGCACATACAGGCTTTGGGATCGACAATTGCCGACATCAAAGGCATTAGCCCAGCATTTTGTATGCATAAGATCCTTCTAGAGGAGGAGTCTAAGCCCTCAATTCAGGCACAACGGAGACTAAACCCGCACATGAAAGAAGTAGTGCGAAAGGAGGTAATGAAGCTATTGGATGCAGGTATCATTTACCCTATCTCTGATAGTACTTGGGTTAGTCTCGTGCATGTTGTCCCTAAAAAGGGAGGAATGACAGTAGTGAGAAACGATAAGGATGAGATGATATCTACCAGAACTGTTACGGGATGGAGAGTATGTATAGATTATAGGAAGTTGAATGAGGCGACCTGAAAGGATCACTTCCCTCTTCCTTTTCTTGATCAATTGCTCGAACGGTTAGCGGGTCATTCTCACTACTGCTTTCTAGATGGTTACTCCGGTTATTTTCATATCCCAGTAGGCAGTAGCACCGGAGGATCAAGAGAAAACTGCTTTTACATGTCCTTTTGGTGTTTTTGCATACCGTAGAATGCCTTTTGGATTATGTAATGCACCAGCAACCTTTCAGCGGTGCATGACTGCCATATTCTCTGACATGTTAGAATCAAGTCTTGAAGTTTTCATGGATGACTTCTCGACTTTTGGTACTAGATTTGAACATTGCTTGTCTAACTTGTCTAGAGTTTTGCAGAGATGTGAAGAGACTAATATAGTCTTGAACTGGGAAAAATGTCACTTCATTGTGACAGAAGGTATAGTGCTTGGTCATTGAATTTCGGCGAGGGGGTTAGAAGTTGATAAAGCTAAGTTTGAAATCATTGAGAAACTTCCCCCTCCCAGCACAATAAAAGGAATTAGAAGTTTTCTAGGTCATGCCGGTTTTTACCGGAGATTTATTAGACTTCTCAAAGATCACCAAGCCTTTATGTGATTTGTTGGCCAAGGATTATGCGTTTAACTTCTCTGATGAGTGTTTGCAGGCCTTCAATCGACTTAAGAAGGAGTTAACCTCTGCTCCCATTATCACTGCACCCGACTGGACTTTGCCATTTGAAATTATGTGCGATGCTAGTGACTATGCAGTCGGGGCAGTTTTGGGGCAGAGGAAGGAAGGTAAGTTGCACGTGGTGTACTATGCAAGTAAGCTTCTTAATGATGCACAATTGAACTATTCCCC